CTTCCCTCCCCACAAGCCACACCAGTGCTTACCAGGGAGATCTACGCCTTGCGAGGTGCAAGTCCTCATGATGGAGGGGAAAATAAAAGGGTGCGCTGTTTAGTTCCAGCTCTGGGAACCGGTGCAGTTGGTAGGCAACAGTCGGTTTGATGGGATTAATGATTGACAGACCTCTGGAACTGCTGCTCCCCACCCATCCCGCTGCCAAGCTCTCCCCATTGGCCTCTGAGGAGCACTTTGAAAAAAGGCGCCAAGTCTTTCTTCAACCATCTTCCCAGGCATGCCAGCTGCCCTCTGAGGGATGTGGGGAAAGGGGGCTAGCTTTCCCGGGCAATTGCTCTGTCCCATGGCGCGTTTGCCGCTGCTTTGCTGGGCCGGAATCTGCCTGCTACTGCTCTGCAGAGGCTGCCAGCTGGAGGAGCCAGCGATGGGTGAGTGGAGTGCCCTTTCACTGCACCAGGCTTACTCCTGCCTGAGCAGCACCAGCCCTTCTTGGCAAGCAGGGAGACCCAGATGCCATCCTGTCTGAAAAGTGCTAACTGGTAGCTGGAACAGTAGCTAGGAATCTGGGGGCTGGTCTGCAGCAGAATCAGAAAATGCAGGTCAGAGAGGGCACAGAGCAGAGTCTTTGTACTCGAGATGGGTATTCAGCCTGTGTATTCCCTTCCTTTGCAAGAGTCGCTCAGCTCCTCAGCACGAGGGATGCAGCAGTTCTACACTGGTCTGGGTGGGGCAGGTTGCTGTTGGGAGAGACTGGGGCAGGGGTCTATCTCCCTGCAGCTCTTTGCACTGCCTCCCAGCTGTGGGGTGTCCTGGGCTGCTCTACCTCCCCCCAACCCCTGTGGATGCTGACAAGAGGGGAGCAGGACGTTTTCAGGAGGGCGTGAAGCTTTCGCTGGGTGGTTGCCGTGTGTTGGGTCTGTACGGGACACCTTTGAGCTCCCAGGGGCAGAGGCGAGCTAAGAGAAATGCACTGGAAAGAAGCAGGAAGATGAGCCTGGGGCTCGACTTCGCTATGCTTGCTAAGGAGCCTGCCTGCCCTCTGTTCCTGTGCCACCTTCCTCCTAGCCACGGGGAATGCACAGTGTAGTCTAATGATGGGATGGCCACCCATGAGACCAAGACGTATGAGGTCTCCCAGTATCTGTCAAGGTGGAGTTCCTTGCTCCAGTGCTCCACAAGATAGGAACACCATCACTGGATGCTTCAAGGCACTATAGCATTCCACGAGTTAATTGCTTTTCCTGTTGCTCTGATTTTGGGCTTTGTTTTTTCCTAGGTTTGAAGGAAGCCGTGAAATCTGATAGCAGTATTGCAGCAGCTCTTGGTGGAGAGGCAAATTTCTATTGCAACTTCTCACTCTCCATGGATGTTTTGCAAGTCACCTGGCAGAAGAGAAATGGGTCTTCCTTCTGGAACATAGCCACCTACAGCCCAAACCATGGGCTGAAGGTGATAGGGTCATTTCAGCAGAAGGTGCATTTCACTACAGCAACCCTGAAGGCCTCAGCTCTCACACTGCAAAATCTCACATTCGAGGATGAGTCCTATTACAGATGCATTTTCAACGTGTTCCCTCATGGCTCTTTCACCAAAGAGATATGCCTCAACATCCAAAGTAAGTTTTCCAGTAACACCTTCTCGCTTTTCTCACCAGCACAGGCCTGGTGTAGGATGGAGGTGGGTAAGGCATTATCACCTCCACTGCATGGAGACTTTCCCCATAGCATCTCCTCAGTGGATAGTCTCCAGAATTGCCACACCTTTCCTCAGAGGAGATGAAGATAAATATGCCGGGAGATGGTTTTGGGTAAGAACCCCCGTACAGAGAGGTGACATGTCCAGCTTTGACCATAAACTCACCACAGAGTGTAAAAAGTACCTTCTCTTTTTTTCTCTCAGCAATTTCGGAGCTAACAGTGGAATATGATTCCCACCTGCCCACCAAGGGTCTCCTCACTGCAGTCTGCTCAGCAACAGGAAAGCCCGCCCCCAAAATCACTTGGCTGGATGACAGAAACCTGGAGGAGTCCCCTGAAATACACCACATCCAAAATGCAAATGGAACAGTAACGGTGGCAAACAGGCTTACCTTCTCTGCCAGCCAACTCCATGCCTTGGCCTGCCTCCTTGACCACCCACAGGGAAGGCAAATGAAGGCAGTTTACTTGGAAAAAGAAAGGCAAGGTAGGCTGCGTTTGTGTGGAGAGGTGGAGTGTGTAGTGGGGAAGGCTTAAGAAAGGATATGCAACTGTGGGAGCGCAGCTTGTGCTTATGTGGGTCTCACCAGACATATGTCTGGGAGCTCAGACCTCATGCTGGATGAAGATTTCATGATTTGAAACCATCCAGAGGACTCCTCCCTGCAGTACCTTTGTGTGTGTGTGCTGGGTGTGTGCATATATATATGTCTGAGAAGCACGCACGTTTGTGTGTACATAGGTACACATCTCTTCTTGTCTGTATTTCTACACAATCACTGATTTAGAGTGGATGCAGTCACTCCCCGGCAGTATCCACAGCTGGAGGGTACCAGCAGAGCAGGCCCCTGGCTGTCGTATGCTGGGGAACAACATTTCATGTCGAAGATCTTGCAGAAGGTCATGTCTCAGGAAGGATGGGAGACTTTCCTCCTGATAAAACTTCCCTGTACGAAAATAGAAACACAAATGGATCAAGAGTAAAAGTGTTGGGTTCGGTTGCCCAAATACCAGGGGAATGTGGGACTTACTCATTTTTATTATTATTGGTATTTATTTTAAAAAAAGTAAAATAATTGCTCACCTACCAGAGTGTTACACTGGTATGCTGTTCCTTTTCCTTTTTCAAGGAATAAATGAGCACAAACTGATGAATGTTTCACTTCAGTCCCAACCTCTGGTAGAGGATGCAAGAAACATATTGACATCCCTCCATGATCTGTGTGACCTTACTGGTTTCTGTGTGTAGGTGTTCAGACAAACATCATCATCATCATCATGGCACTCATAATAGCTGTGTTCTGTATAGTTTGCACCATGAGACCGGTCATCGCAAAAAGGAAAAAGTAAGAGTAATTTCCATTTTCTTGTACGTACCATGGCTCGCCTGTGTTCATCTTGCAATTTGCTTTTCTCTTTCCTGTTGGGGTTTTTATACACCTGTCCTGGAAACTTATCCAGGTGATAACAGTAGCTTAAAACCAGCAAGTTTCATTCTAAATGCCAGGAGGTTTCTAAGATGATGTGACTAGGTAACAGTATATTTTTTCAGACTAAAGAGCTGTAGTGCACCCAGAACACCTGCAGAGGAGGAGGACTTACATCAAGACAGAAGCGAGAAAGCCATGAGCCCACCCATGCCGTAGGACATGGACAAGGTAATGTCCACTTATCAGAACAAGGTAATGCAATGCCCAAGGCTTCCAGTAATTATTCACATCCTTCAAAAGCCTTGGCAACACTTATTAGGAATGTGACAAAACCCTTCCATCGAGAGCTGGGGTCTGCCCCTGCTGCTGCATGGGACAGCCATGCTGGGTGTAGGACAGCATAGAGCTCTGTCGTGGTTACCACACCACTGTGCTGGGTCTTTTGCAGGAGCAGACACCAGGCTCCTCATCTCACAGAAGTCTGGCAGGCGTGAAGAGAAACCTGGGAGGGAAGAAAAATGGCAGGCACTTGTTTTCAGAGAATGTGTAGAACCTGAACAGCAACGTCCACAGTGCTTTTGAGAGGGAACTTGTTAGGTTATGCACCAAGGAGCTCGGCTGCACACCCATGAAAGAGGACAGAGAGGCAACAGCAGCTAGGGGAGTCCAAGTACCATCCCACCCCGGCTGCTCCTCGGCCCAGCACAAAGCAGAGCCATCAGCCCACTGAAGTCCCACCTCCGTGAGCCCAGAGGAGCGCAGGGGCCCAAGGGCAGGTGGGGAGCCCAGACTAAGGACCTCGGATTAGACAGGACTTATTATGGGATGATTAGAGGAGGAACCAAAGGTAAGAAAGGAAGGAATCATGGGGATTTGGGAATGAAAAGGCTTTAGAAAATGTAGGGATGAAGGGATAGAGTATTCTGGTGGGAAAGACTGTGCTGTAGGTGCAGCAATACTGTGGAAGCGTACCAAGATGGGTAATTCGGAAAAGGTTATGTTTTCAAGGGCTCGAGCTGGAAAGCTGCCCCTCCAGCCCCCTGTATGCTTCCTTGCACGAGGCATGTCGGAAATGTCCCTCCAATGTCCTTGCCAAGGCCCCTCAGTCAGCTGTGTCACGGTGCAGCCTCAGCGCGGAGCACGCACTTCTGCAAGGGCGGAGTACCCTCTAGTGGGAAAGATCACGAATGAACGTGGAGACGCCTCCCATGAGTCCACCACTAAAACAGTATCCCCACGAGTGCGGTTTTTATCCTCTTCGGACTTTCAAATAATCTTTTAGTACCCAGAAACCCTATCCCAGGAACCAAGAAACTAAAGCCGCTGTATCCAAAGACATTTGGGAACAGCCCGTCGAAATGACTTCATGAGGGTTGTGTTGCGGCGGATGCTGGCCGGGGTCGCCGGGAGAGAAGGTATTGGAAGGGACTGACAGCAGGACTTGCTCAGGGTCGCCTCCTGAGAGAGCTGGATTTTCTGCAGCTGGGCTTCTTGGTCCACAAACCTTCAGAATTCAGTCTTGAGTGATGTTTTAAACAGGAGCTGCTCAGCATTTAATGAACAAATGTTCCCTGCATTCTGAAAATGATGTGCTGATTCGGCTTGCCTTGAAGTCTGACATGCCATATGCATGTAGGTTACAATGGGGAGCTTCAACTTGGCGTTCCTTGAATAAGAGTTTTCTGAGATTAAGTGCTCATTAAATTTTCTTTTTTCAGAAACATTATCTGTGGTATTTTCCATGGCAGTCATGGACATGCATGTGATCTTTAATCGTACCTATGATTGGAAGCCATCAATATGTGTGTATAAACACAAGAACAAAAGAAGAGATCAGGGGGTTTAACTATTGCTTTCCAAAGATAACTTTTTTCCCAGGAAATGGAAACTGTAGAGAGAAATGTGCTGTGAGAGAGCGGCCAGTGGTACTCCAGCTGAGTGGTTTGGAGCCTGCAGGAGGAAGAGAGGAATGGTCTCACCGCTGTACTTCTGGCAATGAGTAAATGATTTCTGGGTGCAAAAGTGTAGTTTTTTTCCAAGTGTAAAAACCTAGCTTTGGTGACTGAGAGAGAAAAATGAAAATATTTTTAAATGCGCACCAAGGACTCAGAAAACAAATAAGCAGAAAAAGTCTAAATTTTTCCAGAATGTCTCAGTTGAGGGCTTTTTTAAAACAGTCCAGTACTGGATTTCTGCAGGGCAGATCACCTGCCTTTCACAACTCTTCAGGTAGGAGTTTAGAAGTACACTTCGATTATCCCTGATGAAATGGAATTGATCGTTTCTTTCCGTCCTAGTGGTTGTGTTGTTTCCTTTCAGAAGGAAAAAGGGTTATCAATTTTAGAAACAAAACAAAAAGCTGAGACCAAAGTTGTCCCAAAGCCAGCCTTGCTAACAGGATCCAGATATAACATGCCCAAGCTTGCTTTCTTTTTAGAGTGCCTGTCCCAAGAGCTGAAGGAGGCTGTTTGGGATGGCAGAAATTAATATAAAAATTTGTAGTGACTGTCTCACCTTTCTCTTATGAAATATCCTTCTTTCCTGACTGTCAATCTGATCTTCTCCCAGTTACTCATCCCTAGGAAGCTAAGATTTGCAGAGTCTGGGATGCAAGCATATTTGTTTGTCTGTGTAACAATGCAGCACGCTCCTGAGAGGGTGTGCACAGCCAGTGGTACTTACAGCCCCTGGCTGCCAGGATCCTCAGCCCTCGTGCAGAGCAGAGGCACATAAAAGAAGATCAGTGAGAGTGACATGAGCAGTCATCAACACAAAAGGACCAACAGCTTTCCCTAGGAAACGAGAGAAGGGAAGAGAACGCGAGCTTAGGTGCGGCTATCTTGGCTGTACCACAGGTATGTGGCTGCGTGATGCCCAGCAACCCCCGTGCTTGTTAAGACATCTCATACCAAACCTCCTTTTACAGCAAAGTTTAAATTGTAGGTGTCTTCCATTTTACACAGCTATTACAGAGGTGGAAAGCAAAGCAAAATGTGTAGCATATCCGGCGCTTTCTGCCACATGAAGGGATCCCAGAACCATTCTGTGTTCCCCACCCAGGATTAATCTTCTCTGCTGGGAAGCGTGGTGCAATTTGCACTGGAGAAATTGGCCAGGATATCAAACATAAACCATTCAGCATTTGCTTGTTTTACAGAAGTAATTTTGAGAGAAAGAAAATACATGGTTTGTTCACGGTGGCATGGTTGAACCACTAGCAAAATTGACAGCTGGTGGCAGATTCTCTGGACCTGGCTGGACCTCCTAGTAGGACTATTTGAGCATTCATAACTTGAGAAAGCATT